GCATCAAGGGGCACAAAAACCACAAGATCACCATTGTCAAGCTCGGCCTCACAACCTTCTCTTAACGACACCATGCGGCCTGAGACAAAAATGTTATGAGCGACAATGGAGTCCCATCCTGCTTCGACACGCAAGACGCCAGCGCTGGCAAACCTCGGAGCCGCAACAGCGAAGATGCTGCCGCCCAAAGCACGAGTGTCGAAGAGCACAACAACCTTGCCAATGGCGGTAAGGCCTGAGGAGACGGCAACGTACGAAAGGTACGCTTCATCAACTTGAGGGCAGACAGGCAGGAAGACATCCCAACAAGAGTCAAGCTTGGCAGATCCCGCGCCGTAGACAGCAGAAGCAATCTGCCCAATAGAAGCAGGATCGGGAACTGCAACATGAAAGGCAAGAAGCGGAAAGCCAGGCACCGCCAGCATGACCGGCACATCATGACAGGGAGTTGCTCCAGTTGTGCACGAAGTGCACGCATCCGCACCGAAGGCAGCCTTGAGCGCCTCCATCTGGACTTCCGCAACGATCTGCGTGAAATCAGATCCCACAGTAGTTGATTCAGGGGCAGCGGGAATATCATCAGGGACACCATCCGCAAGCCCATGGAGTTCGGCAATGGCTCGCACGGCGCCGGGAGGCGCGGCCCAGACCTGGACTGGGAGGCTGTGCCAAGTGCAACAGCTAAGGAGACATCGCAAAGACCTCCACCGACCTGGTTGGGGTCGATGCTGTCTTATGTCCTTCCGAAGGCGTACTCGCCCTTTCCTGTCAGCCCAAGGTGACCAATCGAGGCAGGGGCCTCCAACAGTAACACTGCCAACTGGAATAACAATGCTCCTCGGTGCAACCTCAGAGAAGAGACCTGTGCGCCTGCTCGACCTAGAAGGCTTACCCAAAAAGGCATCCAGAAGCAATCCGAGCAGGGCACTCAGCAAAAGCCAGCGAAGTACAAGCTGGAATTCCCGGAAAAACCTCTGAAAGGAACAGAGGAAACACCCGACATCTAAGGGGTGTGTGTCAGTAGAGGGGTTGGTGACATCTGTCGGGGCCCATGTCCCAGAGCGACCGATACATGTGTTGCGCGCTCCCAACATAGTCACCACATTAGCACCGGCAGCCACAGAGGCAGAAAATCCAGTCTTAGACCCCCCAATGCCCGACGACAAAACCGCACCGATAGGAGGTGTCGCACGCACAGGCAGAGAGCAAAGCGCCGTGAGCGCGCTAAGGCGGGGGCGTCCTTGGCGAGCGAAGTGAAATCCAAAATTCCGCCAAGGAGCCGAGGAAGACAATGAGGATGATAGCAAATCAGCTATCGGTGGGCGAGGAAAGGAACAACACGGCAGTGGCGAAGCAGGAGGATCCTGTACAGAAACCCATGCTGTACAGAACTGTACCCTACAGTTTTTCCAGAGGACAGTAGGACGAGAGTGCCAGCTATCAATCAACCCGACGGGCAACCTGAGACCGGAACTCAGCTTACCACAATGGCAAGTTGAGCTCACGGCCTCACGGCCCACCAGGGAAAGAGTCGCCGCATCATCATCCCATGTCCACGGAAAAGCCGTGCTCAAGCATCCATGCCGAAGACAGGAGCAGCTTCTAAACCATCCTCCTCGCCATCTGGGTCGTCGTCCACGATTCCTGAAACGTTGTCGTGGGATCCGAGCGCTCCAGTCGGGTGGGCTTCGTGTTGCTGCTGCAGTCGTCGCCCGCCAAAGGGTTCCGCTGCGGATCTTAGGCGCTGCATCTCCATCATTCTCGCTGCATCCAGTTTGTCCGCCAAGGAAAAACCTGCCGATGCCTCTGGCGTAGGCGCCTGCTTGGTCGCATCCTTGATCCCACTTCTCGGTGGACCATCTGACGTAGGCACCCGAGGTCTCGAGTTGTCCCTCTGTCCTGGGTGGAGACCAGGCGGTCTCGCTGCAGGAGAAGCCTCCGCGGGCATAGCGTGCCTCTGCATCACATGTGCCAAATTGGAAGGGGACTCGTTCACGCCCCCCATCCCTGCGTACGGATCCTCCGTTGCACGCGGACTGGGTGCAGGTCCCGAAGCGGTAACCTCGCCCGACAGAACGGCAGGCGGGTGGCAGGGAACTGGAGTACGGGGTGCAGCCATAGTCGTCCTCTGGGGTGTCACCATAGCAGGGGCTGCTTGCATGGCCCGCTGGAGCACTCCGCTCATACCGGCCTGTGCCTCCTGCTCCCAGGTAGCGGTTAGTTGCGCCCATGTTTGGTCCATGGCTGCTTCTTCCTGCATTCCCGGTGTCTGGCCGGTGGCAACAAGTTGAACCAGTGCAACCCGGGCCTGTTCTTGGCACCCCATTGCCTCGCTGAGATCCAACGCAAGTCGAGAGAGATCGTTCACATGCCTGGCCTTCTCCTCCAGGAACGTCTTCTGAAGATTCTTCTCGAAGGTCACCCACTGCTGCTTCGAGGTTTCCTGCGCCGCCTGGATCTTGATGACCTTCTGCTCGGCCTTTCTCGCCACATTCAATGCAGACTGGAATGTCTGCAAAGGACCTTTGACCGCAGCTACCTGGGCAGGGACTGAGCTCCCGGATGAAGCACTCGCCGGGGTGGCTGTGTCGTAGCGCGGGAACCTCGCTTTGCTCGTATCCTGCTGTGGTCGCTGACTTGGCGACCCCCAAGAGCCACGCCAAAGCTGCCAGTCTTGTGACCCAGTTGGCTTGTTTGTTCGCCATGGCCGATTGTTGTTTCGACCCATAAACTCGAGCAGCCGTTGTCTCAAGACAGGGCACGAGGCGTGATGCACAAACAGGCGTTGCGCCTGCCTTGCAGTAGGTGCAACTCCAAGTCGGAGAGCACGCCTTGTCCGAGAGCGCTTGGATCTTCTGCGGCGATGCCAGGAGGGCGAAGGCTTCCCAATGGCAGCTAAAAATCGCGCCAACTCGGGCGCTGGGGCAACAGTTTTCCTGACTACAGGCGATCTGAGCCCTACCTACATATATCTATATATACAAACATGTATGTCTTTGTTATTTGTTTGCTTATCTATTCGTGGTGTGTATGTATTATATACATATGTAAGGCCAACAATTTGCATCTCTCCCATTGGCTATCTACGCATAAGGAGTCCATTACTACTGTTAAGAGTGGCCCTCGGAGGTACTGACATTCAAAATCATCAAGGCCCCGATTTTAATGTCCTATAAGACCCTTATAGGGGACTACAGCAGAAGTATAGGTCAAGGAAGCACGGCGTAAGAATATGAAGAGCTGGCGGGTCGTGCCCAGTGCAATCGTTCACCTATGGGCCTATGGGTCTGCCTTTCAATCAAAGACCTCCTGACCAAAAACCTGATCCCCCAGATTTCTTAAACCCTAAACCCTAAACCCCTAAACCCTAAACCCCTAAACCTTACGGATGTAGACTTTACACGAGCAGGGCCAAGAGTTCTAGAAACTTCCCCACACGAAGAAAATCAGCCCCAGGCATCTTAGCTTCTGGTGCTTTACGCAGGCAGGTCCATGTTAAAGGAAACTACAGGTGGGGAGTTTAGGGTATATAGGGCTTCTGTAAGGCTTCTTTTAGGTCTATAGACCTTCTATAAGGTTCCTATAACGGTAACTACCCACCTGAAAACGTCCTGGTCCATCTTAGAAATACCATTGCGAACCTGAGCCTTCGGAGTTTCAGCTTCTAAAGCTGCACGCAAGCAAGCGGAAAATTGCAAAACCTCCATATTCAGGGTTTAGGGTTTAGGTTTCAGGGTTTAGGGTTTAGGGTTCAGGGTTCAGGTTTTAGGGTTTAGGAGGCCTCAGGCTCGTAGCTTGTAAAGGCTGGTTGCCATTCAGCTTGAGTCGAAAGGCACGCTTAGAAAGGTAGAAGCGTGGGTTGCTCAACTGTACCGAGATGGCTTGCTTCAAGTCATCCACGATTCCATCAGCAGGTATATTGAAGCAGGCTGATGCGATGCCGTGTTCCGAGCCCTTGGGGCGGGAGATTCTCAAACCCAAAAACTTCCAGTCTTCTCCGGTGGAGGAAAATGCTTGGGCTGGCGAGGAAGCATAGAAGCATAGAAGCATCGTCTTTACCGCCATCAGGGGGCAGTGAAGCTTCAGCTGCATCCCGCTTCATGGCGAAAACAACGACTTCTATAGACTATAGGGACCTGAATAAGAGGATCAGAGCCGAAACCTCCTCCTTCCCCTGCTCTGTGGTGTGGTCCTTCGAGAGAAAAACCTTCGTCAGCTGGGACCTGAAGACCAAGCTAGTGGTCCCAACAGCCGACATGATGACGTCATCTGCAGCCACCTCCGGAATGAACTCCCCAAACTCCCGGATGAGCCAACTCGAGTGGTCGAGCGTCCTCTTCCACGTATCGCTGAATGACTCGGTCGCCATATTCAAAGGCGCCACAAAGCCAGATACAAAGCCATGAGTTTTGGAAAACTTAGTGTGCGCTTGAGCCGTTGGGAAATCCTAAACCCTAAACCCCTAAACCCTTAATCCTACATCCTAAACTCAAAATCCCAAAACCCTCCTTCGGGGTCTAATGTTGAAGCCCTGACCCCAGCAACCCGAAGCCTGATTCACCCCTAAGCCAGAGACTCCAAGACCCCACTTTTTGGGGTTGAGGGTTTAGGGTTTAGGGTGTAGGGGTTAGGGTTGAGGGTGTAGGGTTGAGGGTTTAAGGTTTCTGAAAGAACATACCTTAAATCGTACAAAACAACCTTTTGGGGTTTGGGGTTTAGGGTTTCTTAAGAACATACCTTAACCGCGCAAAAAAAAACACCCCTTATGACTTCAGTTGCAAAATCTTCATACATCAGCTTTTTGGAATCTCGGGACAGCTAACGAAAAGGCAACCCTGGCAGTACCCCTTGTGGTCATGGGAATACGAGGTTCGTGGGATAGAAAGTACTGCTAGAACGGCGGTTAGATTTTGATAGAAGCATAGCTAGCTTGAAACTCTGGTTGCTAAGTCCCATGAGCGTTTAAGTATTGGTAGCTAGACAAACTAAAAAGAGGGCGCCTCGTCAGAATAGATGCACAAGGCGAAGTGGACCTCGCCGATGTTGTGGGTTTTACGCGCCCCTAAGCCCTAAACGGTTTCGGGTTTAGGTTAGGGGTGTGGGATGTTTTGTTTAAGGGACCAAAATCCTAAACCCTAAACCCTTAAACCATAAACCCCAAGCCCGAAACAGTAGGTCTAAGGTATGGGGTGTCGCTTGTTTTCAACAACAGGGCTGCTGGGTGTTTGCGAGGGTGTAGGTTTCTGGTCTTCTAAGCATCCCTAAACCCTGAACCGGTTTAGGGTTTAGGGTTTAGGGAAGAGGTTCTGGATGTCGGTCACACGGCGGTATTCGTTAAAACAACAAGTGCTACCAGGTGTACTCACCAAGGGTCATTGTAGTTTTGAAAGCTCTAAAGCCCTAAGGAATGCTACTAATGTAGGAACCTGATTGAGAAACCCTGGGCCTGTAGTAGGGTTCTTAATATGAACCCTGGTATTTTGGGTGTTATAGGGCCAGGGTTTCTTAATCAGTTTCCTACATTAATGTGGCGGCCCGTTTAATAACACGTGCTCGAATAATGCGTACTTTTTTTTTGCCTATTCAAGCCGAAACCAAAAAATCGACCGGCTCAATTAATGCGTTTTTTTGGTAGGGGGGGGTGCCTTTTTTTGGGTGGGTTTCCTCCTGTCTGCTGATGGTCAATCTTAAGGCAGCCACGACCTAAACCCCCCACCCAGACCTTAAAACCCTTAACCCTCCAGTACTCAATTCATTAAGGCTAGAAACCTACTAAACCCTCCCAAACCTTTCTACTTAAGCCCCAAACACCTCGGCCCCCTCAATTCCCTTCTAA